GCAGGTACATATAATATAATACTTCATATAATACTTCAGATTCATTCAGCGCACAACTGCTTCAGAAACGGATGAACTGCTTCCTCTCTGAAGAAGCCTCCTTTTTTTCTCAACGCGACCGATACATACTTATATCTCACGATGTGCTCTTGCAGAAGCCCAAACAGCCAGCTGGATCATTAGGAGCGAATTTCGGTTAGGGAAAATAAAAACCTCATAAAATGGAATAAAAGGTGCAAACTTTAATGAACTTTCCAATACATTTGTTTGCTTACTTCCTTCATTCATTTTATTTTTTTGCGCCGCCACACAAAAAAGGGAACTACAATATCAGGACTCCTGACAATGTACACTGCTCTTTTTTTCCTTGCTTCTTGCTGTTGTCGTTTCTCTGTTTTTTTTTTTTTTTCTTTGTGAGCTCTAAATTGAATATAAGCAAAGAAACAATCTCCCGTCAAAATCACAGCCACATAAACATGGGTAATNTTCTGTTAGATGTGTACTCACGCTAGATATATAAATTACAATGTTATCAGACATGCGACTCTTTACATTCGGAAACACTTAAAAGCACAGAAAAACTTTAAAAGCTTTAACAAAACTTTTGTTTGTTTTTTTTCCCATTTCTGGATGGGCTCCTGTCCATTTTTTTCGTGTTTATGATTTTTCTCGATTTTTTTCTTGTTTTTCTTGTTTTCTGTTTTTTTTTCCTTTTTTTATTTTCTTGTTTTTTTTCCTTTTTTCTTGTTTTCTGGTTTTTATTTTACGTTTTTGTTTTTTGGTTGTTGCTCTTCTTGCTGTCCTTTTTTTAATGTGCTCTTTACATTTCTATCACTGACAGAGATTTAGAAAAGGGCCCATTAAAAAATGATCAGCCAAGAGGCCCCTCATCTATCCAGTGTAGAAATACATCTACTGGAAAAAGATGGCCTCCTCTAACTCTTTGACCGCGTTGGCTATTTGCTTTTTGAGTGACAAGTTAGGGCTGTGTCCAGTGTTGTGTCCAGGAAACACCAGATTGTGTTGTTTCTTCACGTACCTACAGAAGTCATCCTGCAAAGTTAGAAATATAAAAGATTTTTTTCATTATCATAAATATATAACAACATAAAATATTACATTAATGATTAAATGAATGGATGAATGAATGAAAGGAAAAATGAATAAATGAATAAATGAATGAATGAACGAACAGACGAAAGAATGAATGAAACAATCAACCTATGCAAAGGTAATGTATTATTTATAAATTTCTAAATCAGTCAGTGAAATTGCAAAAGGGCAACACTGACTCAATGTGACTACTGTCCAGGCAATTAGTAAACAACCACTGTATAGATGAAACCCATGCAGCAACTGCTGCCAAATTAGGTGTTAGTGGAAGCAGTAGCAGTGAGAGTGGTAGTTAGTGTGGTGGTGGTAATGGTAGTATCACTGGCAGAGGGTGGCAGAGGTGGTA